TTTCTGTGTTACTGAATAAAACTCATTTTCATCACTTACTGATACGCACGTGCTAAAAGAAGAATTACACCTAATGCCCAGTAACTTGGATTTCCTTAACCTTTCAACTTGAATCTTTTCTCCCTGAGTGGTTTACTGCTGAGGCGCTTTATGTTCTCTGCCGGGTCTTTTCTCTTCCTCACTGCACGGTGATTTCCTGGACTGGCTTATCCAGAGGCATCACACACACTGAATCTTGAGTTGGCCAAGTAACTGCAGCATGACTGCTCCAGTTTGGGAGAGGAGAGACGTTCTTCATTAATGTTCTGTCATTGGAGAGAGGCTGGGAACAGTGGGGAGAAGAGCCATGGAATTAGGGGTATGTGGGATCGTTGACAAAATGGAAAGGGAGTAGTTGAAGCTCAAAAAAGGCTGAATTATGTTTGGGCAAAAAACCAGATTGAGTTACAAACAACCACTGCTTCTTTGCTCACTATTTTCCATCTCTGTTCATGAACCAACAAATAACATATGAAAGTATGTGTTTATGTTCCCTTTCCCAGGAACTAATTTTAAAACTGAAGCCAGGTTGATAAGTGTTTATTGAGCATGTCTTCTGTACCATACATATGGTGTGTGTGTTGGAGGGTTAGTTATGAAGGAAGACTAAGAGCAGTCTGTCTTCTTGGAGAGCGGGGTTGCTGTCTGGTGAGAGAAAGAAATCACAGATAATCATCTTACCCCAAAACAGTTTCTCTAGAATTGCATGTGTATTGGAACATAAGATGTTTAGTGGCAATAGAAAATACTCTCTGCCTATTTTTTTTTTAATACTCTGCCTATTTTCTAATGCCTGAAATTCTCTTCACATGGAAATAATGGTTTTATTCTTTTAAAGTGCAATAATTTTAAATACTTGAGAAAGATAATAGATACATTCCTAGTGAAGTATACTCAATCAAATATACGCTTCTAGCATCGAATTTTGTTGTGGTTCAAGAGAGAAGTGTAGCATCAAAAGATATAAAAAGTATTTTATTAGATTGAGGTCCTTACTATCTTTTGTTGGTAGGGAAAACAGTGTGCAGAAGTATGTGGCTCATTCATTCCTGGCTCACATGCATCACCACTCCTTACTGTTGACACTCCACACTATTAATAATGTGGGCAAGTTTATCACCTGCACTAAAAACCTGGTAAGATACCAGATTCTCATTTCCCTGGCTTAATTGTTCAGAGTTGAAAGGTGGAACAGGATTTTGTGTCTGGAGCAGATCGTTTTCTGCCAGTACACTGCGGTTTAGCCGGTTTTAAGAACTGGAAATGTCATTTACATTTGAAGTAGTCTTTAGCCCAACTGTGGATGGATATTTTAAGTACTGGGTTATTTGTTAAGTTCGTCCCTCTACTGGTCTTTTGGGAAATTTAATGGAAACGCCAGCTACCATGTTATTGAAATCAGTGAGAAATTATGTGCTCTGCCACAAGTGTATATACTTTTTTGGACATTTGCTGTTGATTTTTTAGAAAAACAGGATCTTCAAACCCTTTCATTATGAATGGGGTTTGGTCTCCTTTATTTTGAATCAAATATTTTCCAGCTAAAATTGTGTTATATGGCTTAAATTTATATTAATAAGCATTAACAGTTCAATAAATAAGTAAATTTATTAGCAATTTTCTTCAGAAATTATACTTTATAATTTTAAGAGATAATATATAGGACATAGTAGCTTTGGAATCACCTAAATGATTAATTAGATCCATTCAGATTAAACTGTGTGCTAGTTTGAAGGTTTTAACTTGAATTTGTGTGTACAGTATGGAATTGCTCAGCCTTTGAAAATAGTTTTGGATTGATGACACATCTGTACTTTTTGGTTTCCTTACCTGAAACTCTGTCTTCTTTGACAGACAGGTATGTTGCTCCTCTTTGTTTAAAAAAAGGTTATCTAAAGTTGAGTCCCCCCTCAGAATTCAAATGGGAAGTAAAAATACAGGTCACAGGGGGAATTTCATATGGGTATTCAGCGACAAATGAACCAAGCTTGGTAGCCTTTTGAAATAAAATAGGCAACTTTGGAAAACTGACTCCGAATTAGGGTCTTATACCTTTATAAAAAATTACTTTTTGGATTGGAAATTGAGAAGTTTCTGGTCAATACCTTTTTTTGCCATTGGTCCAATTCTGTTCAGAAGTTAAGGGGCTTAAAATTCTGACCTTTTGGTTCTCTAAAGATTGAGATTCACCTGCCACAGATGCAGTCTATGGGTTTAGTGCTGCTCCTTAACAATGCAGGGTTGATTATAAAGATAAGCCATAGTTCCTGCCCCAAATACAGGGGAAGGGGCAGAATTGAACAGTTTAGACGTAAATAAGTGCTTTACATGTATTTATGTTGACACTTAATCTTGTTAATCTATTGCTATGTAGCCCTGTTTTTCTAATGAGGAATTTTGAGCTCAGAGAGGTGAAACTGAAATTTTATGCATACTGCCCTTCTGAAAGACAGGAATAAGTAGTCAGACAAAATGATAGTTGCTAGGTGAGCGCTGTAACAAAGTGCTAATAAGACAGTTCAGGAAGAAAAAGAATCCCGTCTTGTGTAGGGAACAATAGAAACTTTGTGAGGGGAATTCAGTTTGACCCTGAATAGAAAGAAGAGACTTGGGGTTAGGAATCCATTTTTACCATCGGAACACCCTTATCTAAGAGAGACCTCAAATACACATTTTGGGTTTGGAAAAGTTGCCAAGTCTTGCCTGTAAGATTTGGGTTAGAATTCTAGGGTTCCCAATTCTCATTTTAAAGCCCCAGACTTGACCATAGAGTTTATAGAGGTGATCTAGGAGTGTTGCCTATACCTTGTATAGGATTGGGATTTGCACTTGTTTTATTGATATCATTCTATTTTCTTCCTTCCCTACTTATAATTATTGTGGTGGGTGGGAATTTGAGATGGGATGTCTTCAGGATGATGTTGAAATAGTCTGTCCCTTCAAGTTTGTACCAAGTGGCTGCTGAATGACCGGAAATCATTGACTTGGCCTGGAGACTCAAGACTTGATAAAATGCTTATTTTTTTAGACAGGGTCCTGTAGTTTGGGAAATAACTCCTAAAAGTGTAAGAGGGAAGGGAATGATTGGGCATGGGAAGATTTTTCCAGGCCTATGAGGTGGCTGGAGAAAAAACAGTAGAAATAAGAAAACATACGACATTCTATTTAAATCTTGGCCAGAGAACCTGTTAAGTGTTTGGGTCAGGAAAAAAACTAGGTTTGTGGCCTAAAATAATCATTCAGTAGACCTGACAGATTGACTCTCTCTGCCCCTTTCTCCTTGGAAAGAGAAATTTGGAATTCATGTTTATTTAAAATAGTTGCTCCTTCATCTTGAAATTTTTTTTTATAAAAAGCTTAATTCTGAGCAGCCAGCCTCGGTAAAACAATTTTGCCAGCTGTCAGTTACTTGAACATCCCCCAAATAAAGGTAAATGAAATAAGACTAACTACTTTTAGACTGCAGTGGTCTCTCCTAAAGTTCTATAACCATTTTTCCCAAAGGAATGGAGACGGTTCCATTTATCTAGAAGGCACTATTACTGTGTCAGTCTGTGTGTATGTACACATACATGTTTTGTGCAGGTGCTTCCCTCTCAGACGTTTTAGAGTTGATGGCTTTGTCCCTGATTGTTCAGTATAATAGTTTGCAGATTCACTAAGAGAGCTTGTGTAGTAATGCTTGCTTTATTTTTTTTCTCTTCCACTCTTGTTTTATTTTTTACTTTTTTTTTTCTTTGTGATGTGACATTTTCAGCTGATGTATTGAAAGCAAATCCTTCTAATTTGGGAGCCCAGATCACAAGAGTGAGTTTTTCTACTAGTGTCTCTAGCTGTATATCTTTTTCTGTGTGTGTCTTTCCACCCTTTTCCCTCTCCCAATTCAAAAATACTCAAAACACATTTCATAAATATTAGATAAGAAAATTCCTCTGTCTGTTCAGCATCATGCCTTTCCACAAAGCAATGTCCACTTTATATTGGGTCAGATTTCTTTTCTCAATGCTGTTGTAAAAAGCATAGGTCAATGTATGTGTTCTGTTTTGGTTTGTTTGCCTTTCTATTACCTCGTATATTGGAACTCACTTTAGTTCTGTCTTCACTGCGGATACGTCTGGACTCCTGTCATCAGTGTGTCATAACACTGTTAGTATCTTTTGGTGGCGGTTTTTGTTTTAAGGATAATTACATATAGTATCTTCTGAGAATAAAAGACCCATTCTTTCATCAGGATTTTAAGTAATAAATTCTTTGGCTTATCTATTCTCCCACCTCATTCCCTGGTTGTTCCTCTTGGGGCCATAAAGGAATGAAAAGCCACACCTATTACTTTCTAATTTCAGCAGACTGACCAGATGAAAGTGGTCAGACTGGTGAGCTCTGAACATGCAAGCATTGGAAGACGGTTTGATTAATTCACAGGAAAACTGTTCATGATGAAAAGAATAGCACCTTTTTATGGTGAAATCAAAGTAGGCTTTCTATTTGTTAGTCTGATTCAGATAACCTTCCCATGTAAGCTGTACATTGCTTTTTAAGATCTTACACCTGGGTAATTTTCTGTACTGGCTTAACCCCTTTCTGTTCTCTCTGGCTTGTGTTATTACAATTTAACTCATATTCTATTTGTCTAGTTTTGCATCCTGAAAAAGCAGGTGATTAAATAGTCCCTTTTCTTTTCTCCTAGTGTTCTAAAATTTGTTTGTTGCTTCTGAAATTATTTAATTTTGGCCAATAAAGCAAATGGTGTGCTGTCCTAATTAGGAATGCAGATACTCCAGGTGCTTTACCCAGAGTAATCAGCCATTGTGTTTTCAATTACCATGAGAGAGTACAACAATGTATACTCTACACTATGCTATAACCATTGATTATGGATAAAAATTCTGAAAGCCTTGCTTTCAGGATCCCTAGGTTATTCTAAAACACCCACTCCCTGTTCCTTTCTTTTGTTACCTCAGAGATTGAAAGATCTCAAGCAGAGAGAGTTTGCTCGAAATGTCTCCTCAAGATCCCGCAAGGATGAGAAGAAACAGGAGAAAGCCCTACGGCGGCTCCACGAGTTGGCAGAGCAAAGAAAACAAGCTGAATGGTGAGGACATTGTCTCTCTGAGGGCTTACAAATAATTAATAATCTTTAAGATTTAAGAATGTAATAATCCTTTTTTTAAAAATTAAGATATAATTGATATATAATCCTTAAATTTTAAATAGATCCTTCTTTCAAACTAAAAGAATATCTATACTTGGAGTATAATATACTGATTAAGAATATGCACTCCTGGAACTTCCCTGATGGTCCAGTGGTTAAGAATCTGCCTTGCAATGCAGGGGATATGGGTTCGATCCCTCATAGGGGAACTAAGATCCCACATAGATCAGAGCAGTTAAGCCTGCATGCTGCAACTAAGACCCAAGGCAGCCAAATTTAAAAAAAAAAAAAAAAAATGCTCCTGAGGCCGTATCCTATGATCTGTGTGACCTTAATTATCTAAGTTCTGTGCCTCAGTTTCCTTATCTGTAAGGTGGAAATGATAATAATAACTTAATTCTTACAGTTGTTGTGAAAAGTCATTAAGTTGTTACATCAAAGTGCTTACAAAAGTGTTCCTAGCACATAGAAGATGCTCAGTAAATCAGTAAATTATGCAACTGTTATTCCCATTCTCCATCTTTTTTTGCCTCTCTGCTTGTGGGATCTCAGTTCCCAACCAGGGATTGAACCCCGGGCCACGACAGTGAAAGCCCTAACCACTAGATCACCAGGGAATTCCCCTCCCACATTATTCTTATGTAGAAAAGCACATACCTTACAGTATTCTACTGGAGCACATATTTAAGTATTCTGTCTTTCCAAGTACTGTAGAGTTAGTACTAAGCAATAAAGCCTAGGAAATTCTATTCATTTCTCTACAGATTCCTTCCTTCTTGAGTTTTGTTTTTAATGTTCCTTCATGGTTCTTGATGATAAGTATGGAACTGGTATTTAGCCTTAGGTGAAATTAGCCCGCCTTAGCCCACCTCGGGCTGCATTCCCAAGCAACTGGTCTTTGGTGGAGATAGTCTTTGAGCATCTGAGAATTCATGAGGTATGTGCCTCAATCTGAAGGATTTAGGTCCCTCTGTTTGTTTTTAATGGCTGGCCAGGAACAAGAGGAATTAGTTACAGTGGAAAGAAAAACTGTGACTTTTAAAAGTTTATGGTGAAGTTGAGGCCAGAGTTTTCAAGATTGTGACCTTTCTAGATTTTGGGGTACTTGCTTACTTATTAACTTCTCTTGTGTTTTGGAAGAAGGAGGAAGGAGGAGAACACATATAAGTGTAAGTTTTGAAACAGAATTAACCCGTAAGCTCTAATATTGAGTTACAATGCCTGTAAACTGATTCTGATTCCTTCTTTAGCAGTTCTTTATGTAATAAATGCATTCCTCTCAGACTTGTTGAAAGGCTACTTCCTTAAAAAATATATACCAGACCACTTTTTAGTTCCAGACGTATTTTAATACATGTTTTTCTTCATTGGTGACTTTTAGTTCTGTTTTATTTATTTATTTAGTCACACTGTGCAGCATTAGTTCTGTTTTAGAAATAAACAGTTAAAAGATGACCAAGTAAACTCTTGGGGAAAAGAAGGTTTTGACCCACCAATCAGGTATATTTCATCGTCCTAGGAGTAATGCATGACCCCATAGTATTGTTGGAGTTGCATGACAAATACTAAGCAAAAAGTCACAATAAATCCCTTATTTCAGTTTGAACGTTTCTTTGCCATGGCGGAGGGGGGGGGTTGTGACACAGTGAGAGTATCTCTTGCTACCCCAGTCGGGTGGGTTCCATCTTCCAATAACAAGAGTTCAGGTAGCAAAGGGGGGTTACCATATTATCTGACTATATTTGGTCCCTGACTTTAGGACAGCCAGTAGTTAGGGTTTAGATTAAGAGGACTTCATCCAAATAATTGTCTTCAGTTCTTGAGTTTGGCTTGAGAGACACCTGTATAACCCACACACTAAAAGTTTCAGACATGACAGGAGTTTAAAACACTGGCTCTGAGGCTCCTTGATGTTTGTGTTTTCAAAGCTGAGAAAGTACTTGGTAGAATAATGATCGTTGTATGGAGTGCCCAGAAGGTGTCACAAAACCAAAGCAAATTCTTGGACATGGTGCCAGGAGATAGACACAGACTGTTCGTTTCTGTAATAGACATGCTAACCTAACCGCAGACCATCAGAGAGCAGCACAGTGGAGATTTCTGACTGTGTTCAACTCAAGGAATAGGCACATTTTAAAAAATTGAAATTTGAAAGCAGAGAAGAAATTGAGGGTTGTGTTTTTGTTTTGTTTTGTTTTTTAGCTGTACAAAGTACAGTTGATCCTTGAACAATGTGAAAGTTAGGGGTGCTGATGACCCCAGCCCCCACACAAACTCATACACCTACACAGTCAGAAATTGTGTATAACTTTATAGTCAGTCTTTTGTATTTGCAGTTCCACATCCAAAGATTCAGTCAGCTGCAAATTGTGTGACATGTATATACTAAAAAAAAATCTGTATAAGTGGGCCCTTATACAGGGCCCTTATGCATTTCAAACCTGCATACCCATATCATTCAAGGGTGAACTGTGCAGCCTTTGGGAATAAATTTTCAGCCGTATGTTTGGTAGCATACTGATGGGTAGGATGGTACAGTAAAGACATGTAAAGGATGGAACAGATACAGGACAGGTGGGCTATGCCAAATGGTAATGATCATGTATTCAAATTGTGAGGTAAAACTCAGTATTTAGACAGCTTAGGAAGAAACAGCAGTAACTGGCTATCCCTATGAATGTAACTTAGTAGATTAGCAGTATGAGACTTTGCCTTACCTTAACTGAGCAAGTTCCTTTCGTTAGCATAGGGCTGAGGAAGGACTACCATTCAGTGTCTTTAAGATCTGCCTGTGATGAATGGCCAAACATAAGAGATAAGAGTTTTAGAAGTATGAGGAACTTCCCTGGTGGTCCAGTGGTTAAGACTCTGCACCTCCACTGCAGGGAGCATGGGTTTGATCCCTCCTCAGAGAACTAAGATCCTGCATGCTTCATGGCACAGCCGAAAAAATAAAATAGTATGAAATGTACCCCTAAACCTGTTTTTTTGTTTGTTTCTCATTTTTCTAAACCCATTGTGTAGTGCACCTGGAAGTGGTCCCATGTTCAGACCAACCACAGTGGCTGTAGATGAAGAAGGTGGAGATGATGAGAAAGAAGAATCAGCAACAAACAGTGGCGCAAGTACCACTGCCACTTGTGGCCTGGGATCTGAATTCTCCACAGATAAAGGAGGCCCATTCACTGCAGTACAAATCACTAATACCACTGGGCTGGCACAGGCTCCTGGGCCAGCCTCTCAAGGCATCAGCTTTGGCATTAAGAATAATCTAGGGACCCCACTGCAAAAATTGGGAGTGTCATTTTCCTTTGCCAAGAAGGCTCCTGTCAAACTCGAATCAATAGCATCAGTTTTCAAGGACCACGCAGAGGAAGGGACCTCTGAAGATGGAACAAAAGCTGATGAAAAGGGTACAGACCAGGGACTACAGAAGGTGGGAGATTCTGATGGTAGCAGTAATCTTGATGGTAAAAAAGAGGATGAAGACCCTCAGGACGGAGGGTCCCTTGCCTCAACATTATCTAAGTTGAAAAGAATGAAGCGAGAAGAAGGAGCTGGGGCTACAGAACCAGAGTATTACCACTACATCCCCCCAGCACACTGCAAAGTAAAACCTAATTTTCCTTTTCTACTCTTTATGAGAGCCAGTGAACAAATGGAAGGTGATACTAGTACACACCCAAAGAATGCCCTAGACAGCAAAAAAAGTAGTTCTCCCAAGCCTAAAGTCTGCATCAAGGTGACAGCAAGCCAAGGAACAGAAAAGACAGTTAGTGAAATCTCCGAACAGCAGATGGAAACCAGTGCGACTGAGCCCTCAGAGCCTGGAAGCAAAGCTGAGACAAAGAAGCCCTCAGTGGGGGATGTAAGTGAGCATAGTTTAGAGAGTCAGAGTCAGAGTCAGAGTCAGAAGGATTCAGAGATCCAAATGCGTGAGTCTGACCCTCCTAAAGAAACTTCTCAGCCTACTCCAGCAGGGAAAGAAAGTCGGGAGGGACCCAAACATCCAACCGGTCCTTTCTTTCCTGTTTTAAGCAAAGATGAAAGCACTGCCCTCCAGTGGCCATCAGAACTGTTAATTTTCACGAAGGCAGAACCCTCCATTTCGTACAGTTGTAACCCTTTGTATTTTGACTTCAAGCTTTCAAGGAACAAAGATGCCAGAGCAAAAGGGATGGAAAAGCCGAAGGACATAGGAGGCTCCTCAAAGGACCATCTCCAAGGCCTTGATCCTAGTGAGCTACATAAAAGCCAGGAGGAGGAAGAGAGTGTTCAACATTCTTCAGGAGGCAGAATCGATGCACCTGCTTCAGGGGCTGCCTGTAGTGGCCTAAATAAGCAGGAGCCTGGGGGTAGCCATGGATCAGAGACAGAAGACACAGGGAGAAGCCTTCCTAGCAAGAAAGAACGATCTGGGAAGTCCCACCGACACAAAAAGAAAAAGAAGCACAAAAAGTCCAGCAAACATAAACGGAAACACAGGGCTGACCCAGAAGAGAAAAGCTCTAAGGCAGAATCTGGGGAGAAGTCTAAGAAGCGCAAGAAGCGAAAACGAAAAAAGAATAAGTCATCAGCCCCAGCAGATTCTGAACGGGGGCCCAAACCAGAACCCCCTGGTAGTGGTAGCCCTGCACCACCAAGAAGACGGCGGCGAGCCCAGGATGATTCCCAGCGGAGATCCCTTCCAGCTGAAGAAGGAAGCAGTGGCAAGAAGGATGAAGGTGGAGGTAGTGGGAGCACCCAGGATCATGGTGGGAGGAAACACAGGGGTGAACCTCCCACGTCATCCTGCCAACGAAGAGCTAGCACCAAACGGAGCAGCCGATCCAGCCATCGAAGTCGACCCAGTAGTGGAGATGAGGACAGTGATGACGCGTCATCACGCCGGCTGCACCAGAAGTCTCCATCCCAGTACAGTGAGGAGGAGGAGGAAGAGGAGGAAGAGGAAGAGGAGGAGTCAGGCAGTGAGCATTCCCGAAGCCGCTCACGGTCTGGCCGGCACCATTCCTCTCGCCATTCCTCCCGGCGCTCTTACTCCAGTAGCTCAGATGCTTCTTCAGACCAGAGCTGCTATAGTAGACAACACAGTTACTCTGATGACAGCTACAGTGACTATAGTGACCGGTCACGAAGGCACTCCAAGCGCTCCCACGACTCTGATGACTCAGACTATGCCAGCTCCAAGCACCGGTCCAAGCGGCACAAATATTCATCTTCTGATGATGACTATAGCCTCAGTGGCAGCCAGTCCCGAAGCCGATCTCGGAGTCATACCAGAGAGCGCTCAAGATCCAGGGGCCGCAGCCGCAGCAGTAGCTGTAGTCGCAGCCGGAGCAAAAGGAGAAGCCGCAGCACCACCGCCCACAGCTGGCAGCGGAGTCGGAGCTACAGCCGGGACCGCAGCCGCAGCACCCGGAGCCCTTCACAGAGGTCAGGCTCCAGGAAGGGGTCGTGGGGGCACGAGAGCCCCGAAGAGAGGCGTTCTGGTCGTCGAGACTTCATTCGCTCTAAAATCTACCGCTCCCAGTCTCCCCACTACTTCCGATCAGGCCGGGGAGAAGGTCCTGGGGAGAAGAAGAAAGAAGACAGCAGAGGAGATGATGGTAAGGGGATAGGCCCACCCTCCCAGAGCAGCAGCGTTGGCCCAGGAAGAGGGTCAGAAGGTGACTGCAGCCCTGAAGACAAGAACTCTGTCACCGCCAAGCTGCTACTGGAAAAGATTCAGTCAAGGAAAGTGGAGAGGAAACCCAGTGTGAATGAGGAGGTGCTGGCCACACCTAATAAGACCGGGCTCAAGCTCAAGGACCCCCCACAAGGTTATTTTGGACCCAAGCTCCCCCCTTCTCTTGGCAACAAGCCTGTCCTCCCTCTGATAGGGAAGCTCCCAGCTACCCGAAAGCCCAACGCCAAGAAATGTGAAGAGTCTGGCTTAGAAAGGGGAGAAGAGCAAGAACAGTCGGAGACAGAAGAAGGGCCTCCAGGGAATAGTGATGCCCCATTTGGACATCAGTTCCCCTCAGAGGAAACAGCTGGCCCCTTATCAGACCCACCCCCAGAAGAGCCAAAGTCTGAAGAAGCTGCTGCTGATCATCCTGTGGCTCCGCTAGGCACCCCAGTGCACTCTGACTGCTATCCTGGGGACCCATCCATCTCCCATAACTACCTCCCTGACCCCAGTGATGGGGACACCCTTGAATCCCTGGATAGTGGCAGTCAGCCAGGCCCTGTGGAGTCCAGCTTGCTGCCTATAGCATCAGACCTTGAGCCCTTCCCCGGTTACGCACCGCCCAGTGGGGAACCCAGTATTGAGTCAGTTGATGGAGCCGAGGATGCATCCCTCGCCCCCCTGGAGAGCCAGCCCATCACCTTCACTCCCGAGGAGATGGAGAAGTACAGCAAGCTCCAGCAGGCCGCACAGCAGCACATCCAGCAGCAGCTTCTGGCCAAGCAGGTGAAGGCCTTCCCCGCTTCGGCTGCCCTGGCCCCAGCCACTCCAGCCTTGCAGCCCATCCACATTCAGCAGCCGGCCACGGCCTCTGCCACGTCCATCACAACTGTGCAGCACGCCATCCTACAGCATCATGCCGCAGCAGCTGCTGCTGCCATTGGCATTCACCCCCACCCTCACCCCCAGCCACTAGCCCAAGTGCATCATATCCCCCAGCCCCACCTGACCCCCATCTCCTTGTCCCACCTCACTCACTCCATCATCCCTGGTCATCCCGCCACCTTTCTGGCTAGCCACCCCATCCACATCATTCCCGCTTCGGCCATCCATCCCGGGCCCTTCACCTTCCACCCTGTTCCACACGCTGCCCTCTACCCTACCCTGCTGGCTCCCCGGCCTGCTGCAGCAGCTGCCACTGCCCTACACCTTCACCCACTGCTTCACCCCATCTTCTCAGGTCAGGACCTGCAGCACCCTCCCAGCCATGGCACATGAGTTAGGGGGTAGGAGCCTAGATGGGGCCAGGGAAGGTGACCCATGCATCTTCCTTTGGGGTGTCGAGCCATTAATACCAGCAAGTAGAAGCTGGAATGGGCAGTGTCTGACAGCCAAAGAATTGAGTTTTGGCTTGCAGGGGTGGTTTTAGATTTGAGGTTTGCTTTGGGTTTACTATCAGGGATTTTTTTCCCTTTTTCCTTTTCTGTTTGTCCCTCCCTCTCCTGTGTTTCTAGGCTGGGAACACAGTAAGTGCTGCCCACCCCTCTTCGGCAACACCCCCAAACTGTTGAGTTTAGATTCTCCCCTCCTCCCTCTACTTTTTATCCTCTGCACTTCTGTGTATAAATTTTAAAACATTTTCCTCCTCTCTGGCTGGCGGGTTGTCCATCCGGTTCTGCCTTCTCAGTGTCTTTGACCTTGGTGACCTTATTTATCCCGGGTGAGGTGGAAAGGGAGTCTGACCTGGAACCAGATGCCACTCAGCCTGTCATTTGATCCACTTCCCACACAAACAGAGCCACACATTTGGCACTGTTGTCCTTGTGTCCCTCATCCCAGAAGAGACATCTGCATATCCCAGAAAAGAAGATCGTATCATGAATAGAAGCTGCGGAACAGAGAGGAGCTCATGTGTCTGAAGGGTGTATTTTCTTCTGTCATGTTGATGTTTCCTTCTTAATTTATAGGATTTTTTTAATGTAAAAAATTGCACTGAACTCTATAAACGTAAATGCTGCTTTTTGTAGCTCATATAAAAAAGGTTCCATATTTGTAGTATACTGCAATAATATTTTTTACATCCGGCTCTTTAAGTGATCCTTGTTCTGGTGGCTTTGTGTAAATATGTTTGCCCTAGTTGAATTAAGAAACTTTAAAGGTTATCAAATGAAAACAAACAAAAATAAAGTATTTGTTTTCTGCTAGATGCAAAAATGACTAAGCATGTATATTTTATCAAGCTCATGTATTTTTTGAAGTTATGAACCATAAAATGTTAAAAAGAGGAACATTGCTTAACATTTTTTTTTTTTTTTGCTGAGACATAATTTGCAGTAAGTGGTGCTGCCAGTACTGGGAGTTTTGAACTAATGGGCTGCAGTCAGCTAGGAGTGTTGAGGAATAGTTTTGACAGTCTCCCTTATGTGGTTTGCATTTCATACAGAGAAACTGGTGGGCCCCACAGAGGAGGAGAGAGATTCAAGAGCTTTATTCTCTGGAAGCAGTGAGATTCAAAGTGATTGTCCTGGGGGATTCCTGGGTTTCCGCGGCGCCGTCCCAGGCAGTCCATTTGCCTTCCTAGTACTTAGCCCCCTCTGACAACAATTTTTAATGTGCCTTTTGGGTTGGCTAGAAACTGAAGTAGAAGTAAACCGGAGTGTGGCAGAGCTGGGACGGTCTTCCTCCTCCTCTTACTGAGAGGTGAGCACATTTTTAGATTCTGCAGATTTTTTTGCTTCATGGTTTCCATGCCTCTACCCAACTTGGTTTAAGCAGTAAAGATTCCTTTTTTCTTTTCTCCATGACCCTTAGCAGAGGAAGTACCACCTGAATTCCTCTTCCTCCTTATCGTTCACCTGGCTCTCAGTCCTAATTAATACAGTGACCCAAAGGTGTTCATCTTGTAGATCTCATCTTCTTTGATGTAGTTAGAACTTCCCTGTTGGGCATTTCCCTACCTACTCCTGTGGCTAGAATTGGTTGGGTGGTCACCTGACAGAAAAAACAAAACCCTATGTATGTGGGCCAGGGCTCCGTGTTCTGCCTTTCTTCAGTTTCCAAGACAGAAAGGCTTTGCATTCATGTCAAGCAAGTGCTGGGCAAATGAAGACTCTGTTGAGCCTTCTACCTGTTCAGTGCTCCTCATCTGATTCAGAAGCATCACTTTTTTGATAAATAGCACTGGAAAATGAAATCATCTGTTTGTGAAGTGAAGGGGCTCATTTTTCTTTGCTTTCAGCCCATGTAAATATTTAAATAATACAGTATTAACATTTTTGTGCTGCTTCCCGTTAGCTTGTAGATTGAGCCATACTCTGGCTGCCTCTCTACCTTCCTGGGGGCAGTTTCCTTTAATTTCCACAATAGTGATTTTAAAACTAAAAAAAAGGAAAAACAAAATAATCTATCCTTACTTACAAGCATAACAGATTGTATTTAACTTTATCACATATGATAGAGACATATATGCTGTAAAATTAGGGAAAGGAACTTTCTAATAAACCAATGATTTGTGGAAACTTTAGAGTTTGTCGTGATTGTTGCCCCATCCACTCTGTGGGGAAGGGGTGGAGTTATGGGTCACAAATAACATCTTGTATGAAGTGGTCAAAGGGTAGATTTTTATGAACCAGCTGTTTATGATGTTTAGATTGTGCTTCTCAAAGCTCACCCTGCGCAAGTAGAGGGGAAAGGTTATGTTGTGGGAGGAAGTGATGGTTAAGTTTCTGTCACTTGTATGTAGATGTCTTGGAATGTATACCTCCTTTCCACCAACTCTCCCAGATTATTTTTTTTCCTTTTTGGCTGCATTGGGTGGCATGCAGGATCTTAGTTCCCTGACCAAGGATTGAACCTGTGTCTCCTACAGTGGAAGCACGGAATCTTAGTCACGGCTACCAGGGAAATCCCTATTTGGGGGCTTTTGAGTGGACTTCAGGGCAGTGAGTTGAGTCACCTGCCTAGCCTTCCCCTCCAGAGTCCTGAGTCCTCCAGTACCAGTCCTGAGTTATTCTCAACCCTTTACTATGAGTACAGTGCTAGAGAGCTACCTGGTAAAAGGAAGCATGTGCCAATTGTTACTGAGCAGTTAAAATTCTCTATCTGCTCTTCTGTATGCAAAAGGCAGGGGAAATTGTGCAGCAAATGCTGACCATAGTCCTGTAGTGATGAATTAGTTTCCTCTTTTCTTCAGCCTTTCTGGAAGGAACGGCACAATGTGTATTTCTATTTTCCTACTCTTACATAGTTGTATTCTCCCTTTGACAAGCTGTTCAACTTGAACCTTGGGTTGGATGCTCAGATCTGCCAATTTCTCTAAAATAGCAAAATCCCCGCCCCCAAATAAAGGATGTTAGAAAATGAAAAGTGGAAATTCCCTGGTGGTTAGGACTCTGCATGTTCACCACCATGGCTTGGGTTCAGTCCCTAGTCAGGAAACTAAGATCACCCCCCAAGTCTTGTGGCACAGCCAAAAAAAGAAAAGTGGTGTTCTGAGCAGGCAAGGTATCAGCAAAGAGGCAGACTGACCTGTAGAGATCCTCCATGTGAAAGTCTGTGCGGCTGCCTGATTGCAGGCGGGGTTCTGCTACCTGCCTCAGCCACCTGGGCTTCACCATGGAAGTTCCTCCTCCTCTCCGCCCTCAGTGACTAATTCAGGCCTGTCAACCCTTGCCACTCTTGTTCGCCAGGGGTACCATCGCCTCCTTATCATGTGTCTGAATTATTGCAGCCTTTTCCTGGCTGGCCTCCCTGACTCAGATCTACTGGATTTTCAGCATTGTGGTTCATTTAGTACTCACTGCTTCCCAGTAAAATAGTAAACTCTTGAGAGGGCAGAGACCAGTTCTTATACTTAGATTTTTTTTTCTTAATCCCTTAGACTAGTGTTTTATATAGGGAGTTGAACACTTTCAGTAACACTTTGATTATGTGTTCAAGAAAGATAAAAGCAAAGCAAAATACTATTAATAACAGGATTATGCATCAGGATTTAGCAAGGAAGCATCAAAGATGAAGATTTTTCTCTATATCCTCCACATTGCCTAGCTCACTGCCAGACCCATGGTAGTTTAGTAATTGTTGACTTTATGAAGCCTTGACGTTCATTGAGAGATTCAAAGACTTAGGCTGATGAGATGGAAAAGTGAGAGCAATGTGTCAGCCCTCCTCTGCCTACTGTCAGCCCAGCTGTGTCCCCAACAGAACTCCCACAAGGAATAGAATATTGAATATCAAAACTGTCCCGGAGTCTGATCCTATTTGAGTTAATGAGACTACCATCCTACCAGCCAGCCACCATAGCTCTTGAATTACTTTTGACAGCTCCCTACCACATGGCAGTTACTGATCATGTAAATCTCTGCCCTCTCCTTTGCTCCTGCCACCAGTACCCTGGTTCAGGCCTCATCACCTTTAACTCAGAGGATGGTAGGCACCATCCATCTGATCTTCCCACTACGTCCTGCCTTTTTCAGTCCCATCTACCCATAGGCAGCTAGTGTAATTCTGATTAGAGCACCATTGATCATGTATCTTCTCTGATTTATTAAAAATATATATATATGATTCTCCATCTCCTATGGATTAAAGTTCAGATTTCTCAGACATTCAAGGACCTGCAGCGATGAGACCCCAGCCTGCATTCCACCCTCATGCCCTTGCCCTCACCTGTGTTGACTACTTACCTTTCTCTATAACTGACCTCTGTGTTCTTCTCTCTGTTATTTCCTGTGTTGAAAAACCCCTCATTCTCTGACAAAAGGCAATATAGTACAATGGTTAAGAACATGAATTCAAGCACAAATGTGTTTGACACAGTTTTTGCCACTCTGTGTACACTTGGACTACCTAAAACTCTGTGCCACAGTTTTAGCATTTCTAAAATGGACATAAGTAAGTGAAGTTGCTCAGTCGTGTCCGACTCTTTGCGACCCCATGGACTGTAGCCCACCAGGCTTCTCTGTCCATGGGTTCTCCAGGCAAAAATACTGGAGTGGGTTGTCATTTCCTTCTCCAGGGGATCTTCCCAACCCAGGGATTGAACCCAGGTCTCCCGCATTGCAGACAGATGCTTTAAACTCTGAGCCACCAGGGAAGCCCAAAATGGACATAATAGTAGCTAATTCATAGGGTTGTTATGAAGAAGCTGATAATATAAATGACCTCAGCTAGGCATCAACCCTACCTTTTCCAAGGCATTTACTATCCTACTGCAGTTATATGTGTTCATGTCACGTCTTAACTTTCTCCGGGCTAAGTTTTTTAAGGACCCTTGACAATTGTCTTTATATCTCTTACCACTCAATGCCTTGAACAGAATGAGAATTTATTAAAAACCTTGGTGAAGTGTGAGTTAATTTGGGGCTACACCAGGTACACCAGTAATACAGTTCTACTCAGTTGAGGACAGGAGGAGGGTGGAAGGTTAAGTACAGGACTGAGTATTACGTGCCTGCCGTGAGCTTGGCACTGGGAATTCAGCAGTGAAGGAGGCCCAGGCTAAAGTTCAAGGTGCTTCTAACCTAGAAAGTGATAGGATTTTGAGCTGTGTGAATTTTGAGGAGGTGAATTATGAGGACAAAGGTAGTGCTGAAGGGATGCCAGAATAGCCTGGGGGAGTTGGGCAGGATAAGATGATGGTTATGTTTGATCAGAAAATGTAACAGCCCTGGTAGTCCAGTGGAATCCGCCTTGCAATGCAGAGAACTTGGGTTCGATCCCTGGATGGGAAACTTAAGATCCCACACGCCGAAGAGCAACAGTTCCCACACCGCAACTACAGAATCCGTGCACAAGGAAAGATCCCAGATGATGCAACTAAGACCCATCGCAGCCAAATAAATAAAATATTTAAAAAGAAAATATGAGCAAAAGCAATGTGACTATGTTCTTTACCCCATCAGATCTCTTAAATTTCCTTCTTGACAGCCTGCTTTTTTGGGAAGACAATGCAGCGCCAGTAAGACTTGCTTGGCACTCCTCTTCCTCTGAACATCCGTTTAAAAAATGCCCTTTCTGCTCAAAACTATTCCTTTTCTTTTCACTGTGTGAGCCTGCATTTGCATCTTCCAATCCTCAGTGCCTGCTGCTATTCAGTCTGTCAGCAATGCCTACAGTATGTATGCTGGGCTCTTGGCAAGGTCCTGGGACACCAGAAAGGAACCTCATTCTCAAGGGACCCGTGGACAAAATCCAGTGAACAGACCATGACTAAGCAGTGTGATCAGTGCTGCACCCCTGTGTGTTAACCCCAGAGTGCCAGCCCGAGGAATTGAGGGAGGCATCCCCTAGGTAATGACCCCACTAGAATCAAGTCTTAGTGATTGGACAAGAGCTCTGTCACCCAAGAAGGAGTTAGACCTGCCTTCACCTGAACAGCTGGTGCAAATCTCAGAGACTGTGAGCCAGAAAACCCTGGGATGACTCCACTTTACCCCCATCTCCTCCCTTCAGCCAGGATCCATTCACCACCCCTCCCCCAGCACTGGCTACATTGCTGTGGCCACATTAAGACTTGGCCCCAGATGAAGGATGAGTGAGGAAGCTGTTGTGCCAATATGACTGAGTGAAGCTGCCAAAGGTCCTAGAAGGAGGAAGTGGATAAGTGCCTTATCCTTTTAAGGATACAGCAGCCTCAGGTCTTATCAGGGGCCAGGACCTTCCTCACTCCTTCCCCCACTTCTGACCAAGTCACAGCGTGCCTTGGCAGCGCAGGGAACTGTGTGGGGGTAGGAGGACCTATAGAACTGGGCTAGAGGCGTGTTGCACTATCCCAAGCAGGAAGCAATGGTGGTTTAGACTAGCATGGTGGTAGGAGAAACAGAATGAAGATTCAAGAGACATTGTTGAAGAGCAGAACCAGCAGGACTTGATGATAAAATATGTTCAAGAAAAGGGAAGAATTGGCTTTCAGCCATGAGCATCCACCCCCCAGGGTGGACTTACTCTCTTCCCAGCAACCCTAGAAACCATATGGCCCAGGACTCTGCCTACTGCTCAGCAAGTGGGTTTCAGCTTGATAAGAAAAGACTTCCTGTGGTGGAACTGAAAGAGGAAGCCACCAACCCATTAGTGCCTAGGAGGCTGTGGGAGGAGGACGATGGCCAGAGCTCTGCGTCTGCTTCGTGCCCTCTGGCTTCTGGAGTGGGTGCAGCTGCTCTTGGGACCTGGTGCTGTGCCTCCAACCTGGGCCTTGAACCTGGACCCAGTGCAGCTCACTGTCTACACAGGCCCTAATGGCAGCCACTTTGGGTTTTCACTGGACTTCTACAAGAAGAGCAATGGGAGGTGAGCCCTGGGAAACCCCCACCGTCGCTGCTTCTGTGGGTCTTGAGTTCCACATTTGTGATAGAGGTTGAGCAAAGTGATTTCCAGGGTCTATTTGGGCTGAATTCTTGTTAGGAATACTGGGGTGTCAGCGAGAGGCACCAGTGGGGAGCTGGGCAGAGCAAAGACAAAGGGGAGACCCATGTTGATACCTTATTTTTTCCTCAAGGGTCAGTTTTATGACCCACTCCAC